GCTCACGCGATCTTATGCAGTTGCGAGCCCCAAAAAACACTTACAAAAAAATAAGTCAAGTAAAAGTACTACACCTTTCTACTGGTTTTATCTATGCCAGACTGCACCTTCAATTTCCAAATAGCGATGGTCAAAGACACAAACCCCTTAAGTCCTGAGACATAACTATACTTTTTTTAACAGAAGAAAGGAAAAAAATGTTTCTCTTACATCCGACAGCAGGACATAGATGTTGGATCACATGACTGTTCCGCACGTCTATATTATTATTATAGGTCTGCCCCCGTCGTTTTATGCAAGAAAAATTCTTAAATTAAGCAAACCGAGCCCAAAAATGTGAAATTATGCGATTCTGTTAATTTTAACAAAGAATGATAAAGGACAATAATCAGAAATTAGGCAAAAAAATGATCAAATTTTGCTAAATTATGCGGGGTGCATAAAACCACGGGGACAGATAGGTCTGGCGGCTGGTACGTAAATAGGCATGGGATAAAATGAGAGTTTCCTTAACGTCTGGGAAAATAAAACTCTTCAGTTCTAGAGACGAGATCAATATACAAAACAAGAGACAGGCAGCCAGTCATGTTTTGGTGAGTAGATTTTTTTCCTGTGTATGTGTGTCTCTCTCTATCTATCGTGTGTGTGTGTGTGTGTGTGTGTGTGTGTGTGTGTGTGTGTGTGTGGGGGTGTATACTTAGTCCACACGTAACTCCACTTTAGATTTTAGTGAAAGATTTGCAGCACTTGCAACACAATAAGGTGATATGAATGCCACAGATTAGAAGTGTTACAAGAGAGTAAACACAAAAAAGAAGGGAGGAGCGATAAGAATGATAGATGTTTGATAGGAAAGAAGGAGCCGACTACACCAGAGCACCCACCAACCACCCACTTAACCCCACTAAGCACTTCCTAAACAATCACAATACACAACAAAGTGGACAAAAACAAAAAGTTAATGAATATTCATTTTATTCCACTTAATCCAGTGAGCCGACGTCATCAACTTGTCATATAATTTATGCATAAACAGTTAAAATAGTGCACTTTTTTCAGAAGTGTCTAATTTTTTTAACATTTATTAAAAGGAATACTAATACCACAAACATATAGTTTCCACGAAGTATGCACGTCCTTTTCCCTTTTTTAGTTTTCCGATAGTACAGAAAGACCAATTACACTTGCTGAAGAATTTATTTTCTAGACTCATAACTTTCATGGGTGACCTTCATCACACAGAGCTCTTGAAAATAAGATATGCTTGCGAACAAAAAAACCCAATTTTCTTATAGACTACATTATAGTACATTCAAGCGAGCTCAAACGGCCACCTGTCTAAAACAATCACCTGTACAAACGACCACTTCCCATTTCCCCTTTACGTTCTTGTTTTTGCTTTGGGCAGGGGAGGGTAGGGGGGTGTAATATTATTATGAAACTGTCCAAGACCTCCATTTGTCTAAGATAACTACTTTTCTCTTTGACAAAAGGGCGGCCAGTCATAGACAGATTCGACTGTACATCTCAATCTCATTCCAGTCTTGTGGATCTTCCCATATCACGTAGGAGGCCAAGAGGTCATGACCTCGGCATGCTCAGACTCCTTGACCCACTCCAGGTATTCCCGCTGCAGAACTGTGGAGGCAAAAGAAAGGTTTGGTAGCGTTTGAATTTGATGAAATGACGGTATGGGTGGTTAACACATCTTTCGTTTTAGTTTAAGTTAGAATTTTACAGCATTTACAATACAAATACGACATAAAAGGGCTTAAGATTAGGTGTTACTCTAGAGAGAAACATACAAAGAAAAAGAAAGAGGAAATATAAGGACAACAGATGTTTGATAGGAAACAAAGGGCAAACCACATCAGAGCACCCACCAACCACCCACACACCCATTTCAAAAATATAGTTAGGGTAAGGTTGCTTAGGTCAGCTCACTAATTATGAAATTTGGGATATGGACCTAGGAACAGATACAATAACAGTTGTGCTGAAAAAGTAATGTAAAAAGAGCATATCA